AGGGGCCATCTTCCATTTGATAAATGGTCAATGGATATAAATAGATATTTTCAAAAGAAGAAACTTAAGGTATCAAAAGCCACATGAAAACTGTTCTAAATCACTAGAGAAAAGAAAATTAAAACAACTCTGAGATTTCACCTCACATATAAAATTAGCAAAGTTGACCCCCCCCCCAAAAAAAAGACAAGTGCTGGAGGAGCTATGGAAAACAGGCACATTAATGAGCACTTGATGGAGCTGTGAATTGTCCTGTCCATTCTGGATAGGAACTTGGAATTATGCCCCCAAATTATTAAAACTGTGCATAGCAATATCACGTAGTAGATGGATCTATGCCCACCCCCCAAATAGATCAAAGGAAGGAAAAGGATCCATACAAAAATATGTCATGGGGGAAAAAACTGGAAACTGAGGGAGTGTCCGTCAATCAGGGAATGTCTGAACAAATGACGATATGTGAATGTTATGGAAGATTATTGTGGTGTAAGAAATGATGGCGATGGTTTCAGAGAAATCTGATACCAAGTGAAGTGAAAAGAATTTTTTAGGGAAAACAATTTTTAAACTTTTTTTTTACCTTTTATTTTATTAATTTTCTCCCTCCCTCCACCCCTCCCCAAACATTGAGAAGGTAAGAAATACAGTACCCATTATACATATGAAATCATGAAACATATAGCTGTACTAGCCATGTTCATGCAAGAAAAATAAAGAAAGGAAAAGATCTGCTTCATCTGCCCTCTGAGTCCATTAGTCTCTCTTTGGATCAGTTAACATCATGAGCCCTTTGGAGTTGGGGTGAATCATTGTATTGATCAGAGTTGCTATGTCTTTCACAGCTGATTATCTTTACAATATTTCTGTTACTATGCACATTGTTCCAGAAGAACAATTTTCACAGTAACAGCAATGTCATAAAAAAATGACGTTAAACTATGCCCAAAGGACTATAAAAATGGGCATACCCTTTGACCCAGCAATAGCGCTTCCAGGGCTGTATCCCAAAGAGCTCATACGCATGGGAAAAGGATCCACATGTACAAAAGTATTTATAGCAGCTCTTTCTGTGGTGGCCAAGAATTGGAAATTGAGAGGATGCCCATCAACTGGGGAATGGCTGAACAAGTTGTGATATATGAATGTAATGGAATAATGTTGTGCTATAAGAAAGGATGAGCAGGTGGACTTCAGAAAAACCTGGAAAGACTTACGTGAACTGATGTTGAGTGAAGTGAGCAGAACCAGAAGAACGTTGTACACAGTAATAGTCACGTTGTGCGATGACTAACATTGATGGACTTACCCCTTCTCAGCAATGCAAGGATCTAAGACATCTCCAAAGGCCTCATGATGGAAAATGCTATCCACAAAGAAGAAAGAACTATGGAGTTTGAATGCAGATCGAAGCATACTATTTGCTCTTTTTTTTCTTCTGTTTTGTTTTGTTTTGTTTCTTCTTTCTTGTGGTTCCTTCTATTGGTTCTAATTCTTCCTTACAACATCACTAACGTGAAAATGTGTTTAATAGAAATGTATATGTTTGGCCTTTATCAGATTGCACACCATCTTGGGGAGGGAAGCAGGGAGGGAGGGGGAGAAAATTTAAAACTCAAAAGCTTATGGAAGTGTTTGCTGATGAGGCAAAATAAATTCATTTTTAAAATGTGAAAAAAAAATGACGTTAAAACACTTAGAATTCTGATGGAGGCAACGATCAAGCACAGTTCTAGAGGACTCATGATGAAACATGCTGGCCGCTTCCTGACAGAGAGGGGCTAGATGAGGAGGGTGGGGAGGGAGGCCGTGTTTGCTTGACTATTCATTATTTGTTACGAGGGTCGGGTTTGGTGTGGTTTTATGGGAAATGGAGTGGATTAGAGGAGTAGGAAAGTGAATTTGGGTTAATTGAAAAGAGGAATAATCATCAGGCAAGGCAAGCGCCACCTCAGTTGTTCAGTTCAATCTTTGTTGAATTGTTATCCCCATTTAACAGATTGGGAAACTAAGTTTTAAGACTTGCCCAACATCCATGGCCAGGGCCTGAGATGGGATTGTACCACATCGTCCCCTGCTGGCCATGTATATCAGTGACTGTTGGGGAGGTGGACTCATCAGAGGGGGAAGGGCGGGCCTGAGTCCCATGGGGAGTAATGATTCTTTGAGGTCATTTGATCCCCAATGTGGGCCAAAACCTGGACTAACCAGCCAGAAGAGGCACCTTGGCATAACAGACATGCTTTGCATGCTGACCCCCTGCTGGATTTTGCTGACTGGGAACCATTCTTCTGCCAAGGACATGGGCCACCGGATATTTCCCTTATCTTTTTATGGCACTCCCTTGCTGAGGCACCATCTTGACACCCCCTGTTTTATGATACTCTGTGTTTATGGTTGGCAGAAAGCCAGACACCCCAGGGCCACCCTATTTGTTTTGTGGAACTCCAATTTTGGCTAAGGAAGGACACTGGGGTGTTGGGGGGGACTGGAAAGGGGGGTTACTCTATGGCTATAAAAACTTCAGCCCTGGAGTCAGGAGGACCTGAGTTGAAATCCCGACCTCAAGTACATAACACTTACCAGCTGTGTGACTCTGGGAAAGTCACTTAACCCCAATTGTCATACCAAAAAAAAAAAAAAACCCAAAACCAAAACCAAAACAAAACAAAAAACTTTCTTCAACTAAGCCTTCTGGGAGCTCAGAATTATTTTCCGATTCCCATGCATGCATGTTTCTGGCTAGCTTAAAGGGAATAAACTCATCTATCTATCTATCTATCTATCTATCTATCTATCTATCTATCTATCTATCTATCTATCTATCTATCTATCCTAGTTTGCCTCCTTTTAACCAAACTCTGAAGGTTGACAGGAAGAAGGAGGCAAGGTTATTCATTCCATAAATATTTATTAAGCACCTACTATGTGCCAGGCACCAGCCTAAACCCCCTTGTTCCCTCTCACCCACATGGGCTCTCTATCTGAAATTCCAACTCAGAACTGGCCCCTGCCTCCATCTACCCCAGTGACTGCATCCTGAACCTCAAGGAGGGAGGAAGAAGTCCTTGGGGATGGAGAGAGGCACCCCAGTGAGGGACCTTCAACAGCATTCTGAAGTCTCAGGCCCTAGGGACAAAACTGGGGATGGTGAATGTGGCTGGGAGAGCCACCTGTCGTCCCCAAGGCATCTCCAACAGGGCTAAGTATGGGCCCGAGGCTAGTCACACCAGGGGAGTCCTACTCGGCCCATTCCCTCCTCCTCCTCCTGGCCCAGTGGAGACTGACACCACCAGGAGAAGAGAAATAGGGTACGGGTGGGTCTGCTGGGGGCACTGTGGGAAGCTGGGGGATCTGATTGCCACCTGGCCTCATTCGTCAGTCCTGGCCCCTGGGCTTTGGCTCTGTGGGCTAAATGAAGAGGCTGGAAGAGAACAGATTAGCCTCCAATGTGGGGACCATCTGGAAATCCAGGCTCACTGTCCCCTGTGAGGAGTTCTTTTCCAGTTCTTCTCTATAGGCTTATGCTCTTGGCCTTTCGGTCTCCCCCATTAGGGCAAGGATCATGTATTCCCAGGGCTTAGCACAGTACTGATCACAAAGGATTGTTCAATAAGCCACGGTTGACCGGCAGACACTCTCCTCAATCTCCCCTCCAGACTATGCCGGGTCCATAATCACTATAGAGAAATGAGTGGCCCCTGGAGGCGATCTCTACAGGCTGGAGAAAGGGGAGGGCACTGGCCACTGAGAAAGACTCCCTCCCCTGAGGGGAATTAGGGTTCTTCTAGTGTTAGAAGCTTGAACTCTCATTCTGGTGTGCTCTCCCCAGTATCGACCAGCTAGTTAGAGTTCATATCTCCCCCATATCGTTGTCTGGCCCAGTGATTAGTGCCCCAGAATAATTATTAAGTGGATTTAGCAAGAATAAAAGTAAAAAACACATTCCCACTCCTCCCCCAAAATAAAACAAGGGAACATATTCCCCTCCTGCCCATCCTCCACTGTCAAACTGGTCTTCCTGAAGTGCTGGTCTGACCACACCCTCTGACCCATTAAACTTCATTTGGTCCCCGCCATCTCCAGAATCCAACAGAATGATAACAGTTCACTTAGCCCAGTGAGCTTTGGAGGGCTATTCATATACGCTACCTCCAGTGACCTTCACAACAACTACCTCCCAGGTAGGTGCTATTATTATGCCCATTTTACAGATAGGGAAACCAAAACAGACAGAGGTTAGGTAGTTTGCCCAGGGTCCCACAGCTTGTAAGTGTCAGGGGCTATATTTGAACTCAGGTCCTCCTGACCCCAGGTCCTGTACTCTAACCACTGCACCACCTTTCTGCCTCAGGTACATAAATGGAAACTCCTCAGTTCGGCTTTCAAAGCCCTCTATCATCTGGCTCTTCTACACCTTACTGCCAGCTGTGTGGTCTACCAGTAACACCGTGACACTGACCTCCTTGCTTTCCATCTCCTAATTAAATGCATTCTCTTCAGGGTGTCCCATGCCTGAGGTTAGTGACCCCCTCCGAGATCATCTCCAATGTGTTTGCCACTTGTCTCCCCCATTAGGGCGGGTCTGTCTTTTGCCTCTCCCAGTGCCTGGCACACAGTTGGCACTTAATAAATGCTTTTTGCTCAGCTTGACCTCAGTCGCCAAGCCATCTCCACCAAAGCCTCGACCACAGGTAGGCCAGCAGTGCCAACCCTCTCACTGCCCCAGCCTTGCAGACCCAGAGACAGCCTCCAGACCTACAGCACCTGGGTGAACACGGTGAACACGCCTGCATGGAGACTGTGCAGAAGGAATTGCAGGGCCCCTGGTGTAGTTACTGTTACCTTTTGAATCAAGCCCAAGCCTGGGGCCCCCGTCACTTCCCGCGGCTCAGCGCTCCCAGAGCGGTCATGTGGGGGAGGACGAGCCAATGGCAGGGCTGCTTCTCCCCCCTACACACACACCCTGGGGGACCCGCTGGGCCTCCCACGTGCTCCCTGCCTGCCCAGGAAGACCGGCTCAGAGCCATGGGCCCTTCCCTGGCCACCCTGCTCTGCCTCAGTGGGTCTGGGAGGGGCACGGGGGCGGGGAGGTGAAGGGAGGGGCTGGAGTTTGACCTGGGGGGCACAGAGAGAGTCCTGGGGAACAAGGTGGGGCTGGAGTCCGACGGGAGGAGGGAACAGAGGGGAAGGGGATAGAAAGGGAGGAGTGCGGGGGTTCTGACCCAGGGGATGGGGCAGCCCCCAAGGAGGCAGGCAGGAAGAGGGGGGGGTCTGGGGCCCGGGGGAGCAGTGTCTCATTGCGGGGGGCTTTCTACAGGATTCTGCGTGGTGCAGGCCTTGCAATCCTTCCGTGAGTCTTTCCCCGCCCCGTCCCATCCTGCAGCCCGGGGCAGGGGGCGGGGAGCGGGGGGCAGGAGGGGTCCCGGGGGCGGGGAGCGGGAGCGGGAGGGGCCCCGGGGGCGGGGCTGCAGGGGACTGCCGGACCCCAGGCTCCGCTTGCCTTGCAGATGACCTGCCCCCTCCGGTGTTCGAGGTGGACCCCCAGTACCCGGTGCCGCTGGGGCAGCCCCTGAAGCTGCACTGCATGGGGCCGCAGGATTCCTCTACCTACCGTATCTACAAGGAGGCCGTTGAGGAGCCCCTGAGCCTCAATGACTCGTCCTGGGAAAGCAAGACCCCCAGATTCGAGTACCCCGAAACGAACGCGCAGCATGCCGGCCGCCTCCGCTGCGTCTACGAGTTCCACTCCTTCTGGTCCAAGCCCAGTAATCCCCTGGAAGTGCAAGTGTCCGGTGAGAAGGCACCCCACCCCCCAGCCAAGGGAGGGCCGTGGGGGCGTGGGTCCCCGGCCCCTCCTCCCCTCCTTCCCAGGCCCACCCATCCGCACGCCAGGGGCCCTCCGCTCGTGGAGGGGAGAGTCAAGGCATTGCCCCACGAGATTTTGTCCCGGGGCCACTTTTTATTTCTTGATCCTTAAGGTCAGTCTGTGGGTCAACGAGCATTTATTAAGCGCCTCCTGTGTGCCGGGCACTGTGCTAAGGCATTGACCAGCCTCTCACTGGAACCCTGGCAGGGAGGTGCTACTATGATCGCTGTTTTACAGTTGAGGAAACTGAGGAAGACAAGGGTCAGTGACTTGCCCGGGGTCGTACAACACACACAGTGGTCACCGGCCACTCGATGTCTGAGCATCTGGTGAAAGAAGGCCAGAGGAGTGGGGTCTTAGGGGGAGAGCAGGGTGTCGGAAGACTGGAAGGGGAGGAGGGTGGAGCCCTGGAACTGTCGATGGGGGGTGGGGGGTGACGTGGTCTAGCCTGGGCTTTAGGCAGATCACGGTGGTGGCTGAATGGAAGATGGACGAAGCAGGGAGAGACCAGAGGCAGGCAGACCCCCACCCACTCCTCCCAAGCAGGCTGCTGGTGGAGGTGGGGAATGAGGATTGCATCCGGGACCAAGGAGGGCATGAGCCCCACCATCCTCTGCCCAGCTCAAACCCCACCTCGGCTGGGATCTTCCGTTCAGGGCACTGTGGTTAAGAATGCCAGTCACCTGGAGAACACCCACAGGAGGGGGCTGGGTAGGGAGGGGCCGAGGTCGTGCCACGGCCTGGGAAGGAGGAGATTCCAGGGGCATGAGAGCTCTATGTGAAGAGCTGTGCTATGGAAGAGAGCAGAACCAGGAATAGGGTGGGAGAGGTGACCCAGGGGAGCCGGGGCTGGACGTGAGGAAAGAGCTGTTCTGAGTGGAGAAGGCCGATGGAGGAGAGAGGGAGGGGGTCTGTGCCACGGACATCTACACGGAGAGGAGGAGCTTGGGAAACTGAGTCACAAGACTGACCCAGAGACAGGATTGAGTGAGGGGAAGGCGCTTCAGTTGTCCAGATCTCTGCTGGCTCAGGCTCAGGCTCGTGCTAGTGCTTGTGCTCTCTCTCCCTCTCCCCCCACTCTCTCTCTCTCTCTCCCTCCCTCTCTCTCCCCCTCTCTCTGTCCCTCCCTCTCCCTCTCTCTGTCCCTCCCTCTCCCTCTCTCTCTCCTCTGCCTCTCTCTCCCTCCCTCCCTCTCCCTCTCTCTCTCTCCCTCCCTCTCCCTCTCTCTCTCTCCCCCCTCTCTCCCTCCTTCTCCCTCTCTCTGCCCCTCTCTCTCTCCCTCCCTCTCCCCCTCTCTCTCTCCCTCCCTCTCCCCCTCTCTCTCCCCCTCTCTCTCTCCCTCCCCCTCCCTCTCTCTCCCTCTCTCCCTCCTCCTTCTCTCCTGTCTCTCTCCCTCCCTTCCCCCCACTTTCACTCCCTCCCTTCCTCTCTCAAGGTGGGTTGGCAGTAGACTGTAATGGGCTTTAAAAGCCAAACGAGGTGATGTTGAAGGTGAGAGGGAGTCACTGGAGGGCTTGTTCTTTCCTTCCTTTTTTGATGGGGTCCAGACAGAAGCCCTCCTGGAACAAGTCCTGCTGGTATTCCTTTCTATTCACGGCTCTGTCCAGGCACTGTTGCCCTAGGGATACAACAGGATTGTAGTTGAATAAAAGTGTGAGGATGTACATCCATCCTTTCTAGACTCAAGGAAAACCATCTTCCCAGTCTGTGGCCTCAAGCTGCTGGTGAGATGATGGGGATGTCAGCCTTCTTCCTGTTCCCCATCATTCTGACCTCCTCATCCAGATGGCTCTGCTTGGAAAGGCTTTCTTTTAGCGTAGCTTGGAGATCTCCAGAAACCCTGTGGATCAGTGGTCTGTCCCGGCAGCTGTGGGCAGCAGTGGAGTCTGTGCTAATTCAATTCCAGGTTCATTCCATGAGGGGAACGGTCCAGGATGTTGTAGTAGGGGGATTTGTCATCTGTCAGTCCATGAAAGATAGCAAGCTTTGGGTGTATCCTTCTAGCCACCTGGTCATGTCATTCTGGGCTCCATAGTCTCTCCCACTTCTAGTTGACCTACATTGATCAGAAGCCCAGACTCCTTAAAGGTAAGCCTTCTGTAGTTTCTGGTGGCAAGAACCCGGTCCTTTAAGTCACCATCAAAAACCCAAGGGTTTCCCTCTAAATGTTTAACCAGTTCCTCCAAAAACTCAGGACATGCTTTTAAAGGTTAATCTCCCTTATTGCCATTTCTCCATCCCTTTCTTAAGTCTAGCCAGTACAAGCTGACCCCAGCACACCCCTGCATGAACCCCTCCACCTCCACCAACAAATCTGCTCAGTTCAACTATTTGTTTAGTGCTTCTGTGCCAACATATTGTTAGGTGTACTCACAAGGATGTTACCCACAGGAGGACCCTCTGATTCCACTGTTGGGTCTCTGTCATTTCAGACTCCACCTAGAGGTGAGTCACTTTTGGATACATTCAATACATCCCATGTGTACCTGTTATCAGTTGTGAGTAATGCTTCGTGAATTGGCGTCTGCTTATTCAAAAAAAGTATTTCTGTAAGGTTTTGACCTGTTTGTCATGTATTTTAAGAATGTCTGTCCTCTTCCCTCCTTTCTCGTGAGGAAGCACAAAGCTTTCTATCACTGCTTTAGGGTGTTGGGCCCTGGATTTTGTTACCATTGTCCGTTTTCCAGGTCTGAAAGTGTTCAGCGAGACTGGTGTCGTTTAGGCAACGGCTGATCCAGTTGGGCTCTTGCCGTTCAGTTTTGACTTCAGGAGGCCGGGTGGTCTCTGCACATTCAGTCCCAGCCTTCTCCTTGATATCTTTACACTCAGTGTGTCTCTCCTGAGGAGGAGGAGGAGGTGCGGGTCAATGGTTCAGTGAGACCCCTAGACTCAAACTCTGAGCCATTGAGCCCTCTCCTTTCTAGGCATACATTACTGAATCCAGATACTAAGTTGAAGTCCATGGAGAAAGATTGCCCAAGATCAAAGGAACTTTTGGATAGTACATGAGTGATTAACATGAATTTTGGGCTCACTTTTAATTTGCAAATCTTATTTAATTCTATTTAGGAGATTTAAGGCTTGGTAGAACCAAGGTTAGAGTAGGTTAGGGTAGAACCCGGTAGAACCGGGTTTAACCCTTCTCCCTGAAACAGGCCATGTTTCCTATTAATTACATACATCCTGCTGACGATGTTTTAAATTAAAAACAGCAAGTTATCATCATTGTTCTTATTACGGCTACTATTACTATTGGCCATGTGACTTTGAGCAAGTCCCTTCTCTCTGAGACTCAGTTTCTCCATCTGTAAAATGAGAGGTGTGTACCAAATCATAGCTAAGTTCCCTCTCAACTCTAAATCCTATGAGTGTTCCCAGCCCCCATCACCTCGGTCTGCCTACCTTCTGATTGCCCTTGCCTGGATATTGGTGGTGCAAAGGTAAGCAACCCTTAGGCTTCCTCTGCCTGAAGCTCCTAGTGGCTGGCAAACATGCTTGCATGGGTACGTAGGTCATCAAGGCCCCTTGTCCCAGAGCTCCATTTGATTGAAGCAGCATCTTCCTCATTGGGCCCCCTAAGGGGCAATCATCTCATCATCCCCTCCAATGCTCTTTCCTGGGCTGCACCATCCTCCTCACTGACATGGCCCCCAAGCTGTAGAATTATGGACTATTAGATCAGGAAGAGACTTTGGAGACATTAGAGATATCCCAACCATCTCACTTCATCAAGGAAGAAATTGAGTTTCAGAGAGGAGGCAGGACTGGCCAAGGACACACGGCAAATGGCAGTGTGACAATTCTTTCTCCAGGCCTCCATTCCCCTGGATGGTCCCAGCCTGTACCCTCCTCCTCCTCCTCCTCTTCCTCTTCCTCAGAGAACTGGCCTCAAGCCCCTTCAGAGTCAATCTGAGGGTCCCAGGAGAGCCAGGGACTCTCATCTGTGCCCTTAGGAGAAGGGGATAGAGTTGGAAGTGATGAGGGTCTTTCAGTCCATGGCCATACCCCTTGGTTCCAGCAGAGGATAGACTCTCCCTCTCACAGCCCCGACCCAGGAAGCCAGGAAGGGAGGAGATCGGCTCCCGCTGATTTCCGGGGTCTCCTCTTACAGGCTTTTATGAAAAACCCCTCCTGTGGGCAGTTCCTGGCCCCTCGGTGCCCCAGGGCCACAACTTCACCATTCACTGTAACTCCAGCGTGGGCTTGGATAGCTTCGTCTTGTACCATGGCAAACTCGAATATGAATTCAAGACCATCAGGATCCACAGTATCAAGAAGAATGAGGCTGTCTTCTTTCTCCACAACAAAACAGAGGATATGAACGGGAGATACAGGTGCTACGGCTACATGAGCAGTGAACCTCATCGTTGGTCAACTCCCAGTGACGTCCTGCTGCTAAGTGGTGGTGAGTAACCCCAGGAATGGAGAGCTGGCTGAGAATTCGCTTCTCCCCCTGGAGGATTCTGGGAAGGAGAAGGGCCTTAGCATCTGGTCCTCCACAGCCTTTCCCTCTGTTCCCACAATAGGTCTCTCTTCTGGGTGGTGTATCATGATCCATCTTATCCACGTGGTCCTGGCCTTGGCCATCCCCTGTGGGTCTTGCTGACCTAGTCCTAGCACAACCAGAATGAGTGCAGAGTTGAAGCCAGGAGACCCAAATCTGAGTACCTGGAGGAAGACAGACAAGAGTTCCAAGATCCCTCCTTCCCAAGTCCAGCTTGGGATAACCCCATGTGAAACCAATAATAAAGAGCCAATTGTATCTGCTGTGTGGCCTCTGTGTTTAGGTCAGGGCGAGGGAGCCTCACGGGACCAAAGGCTCCTCAGAGGAGGCAGAAGGGCATGGGGAGAGGATGAAAGTAGACCACTTAAACAAAGCACACAAAAGCATCAAGATGTTTTTATTTCTTTAAAGAAGATCTTTAAAAAGCCTTTGACTCAGTTCCACACTCATGGCTTACCCACAAACTGCAGAAAATATATACAGCAGACCCAAGTATAGTGAGACTACTAGAGCATTTGATGTCCACGTGGAAAATCATTCTCTGTTTTGAAATATACAGTATTGTTAACAACTGAAGTAGAAATGGAGTCAAGACGGTGGAGGGAGAGGAAGCAGGAGCCAAACTCCTCCTTATCCCTTCTTCCCAACAATCTAGAAAGTGTGCCAGGCCGGTTTCTGATCAGGAAAGCTAAGAACAGGCCACAGTGAGTTATTTTTCCAGGCCTGGAAAGCTTAGGGAGATAAGCAGAAAGGACTGCGGACTCTGGGGTGGGTCTGGACATACGCAGCACCTAGAAATAGAAAGTGAACCGAGACAGGGCAGTAGGGCAGGAAACAGCAGGGCAAGAAGAGCTCCCAGGGGATCCCTAGACTAGCACTCAGTGCAGGTCACAGATGCAGAGAGGAGCTATCAGGAGGGGTCAGTCACAAGCATGGGCCTTAGCTGCGTGCTGAACAAGAAACACATTACAGAAATAGAACTGGGTGGCTTTGACCTCAGGAGCAGAGCAATGACTCAGTTCTAGTCTTTAGCACAACATCTAAGCTTGCAATGGAATAACCGTGGCTGGAGTTCTAGCCCAAACGAGAGCCAGCAATCCAGTCACCCCAGAGGGTGAATGAGTCCAGCTGCAGTCCAGTTCCACTGGAACTCTCAACTGAATACAAGCCAATAGACCCAAACCCGGGTCAAGAACTTGAAGAACTCAAACCAGAAAGGCAGTGAAAAGATCTCTCTTTTAGACATTATCACCCCCACCCCGCCCCCAAAGTAAGCAGAGCCCAATTATCAAGCAAACATTTATTAAGTGCCTACTATGTGCCCGGTACAGTGCTAAGCTCTGGGGAACCAAAAACAAAAAAAAAAAGCAAAACACAGTCTGCCCTCAGGAATCTCACAATCTAATGGGGGCATAAAGTCCAGAGTCTGGAAAGAGTCTAGAAAGATGAGCAAATAACAAGTTAATAGGTACCAGGGAACACAGAAGAGAATGACTCAAAAACATCTACAAACAAAGCCTCATGGAAAAATGCAGCTTGGACATAGGTCCAGCAAGAAATCCTAGAAGAATTCAAGCATGAGGTTTTTGTTTCTGTTTTTGTTTTTTAAAAACTGAAAAATTATTTTTAAAATAAAATGAGAGTGGTAGAGGAAAAAATTGGAAAAGAAGTGAGAGTGATGGGAAAAGTTAGAAAAAAGAATTAACAGTTTGGGAAAAGGAACAAAACCATACTGAAGAAAATAACTCCTTGAAAATTAGAATTGGCCATTGGAAGCCAATGATTTCATAATACATCAAGAAATAATAAAAGTAAAAAAACTAGAAAAATAGAAGAAAATATGAAATATTTCATAGGAAAAATAACTGCCCTGAAAAACACATTGAAGAGAGATAATTTAAGAATCATTGAACTACCTGAAAGTCAAGAACAAAAAGAAGCCTAGACATCATATTTCAGGAAATCATAAAAGAAAACTGCCCAGATAACTTAGAACTAGAGGGAAAAGTAGAAATTGAAAGAATCCATCAGACACCCCCTGAAACAAACTGAAAAATGAAAACTCCCAGAAATATTGTAGCCAAAATCTAAAACTCCCAAGTCAAGGGAGGCAGAAAGAAAGAATTCAAGTACCAGGCTGCCACAGTCAGGATCACATAAGATTGAGTATCTACAACCCTAAAGTAACTGAAAGGAAGAGAATCAAGGATTATGATAAAGAATAACCTCCCTAGAAAAACTTAGTATAATCTTACAGGGGAAAATAGACCTTTAATGAAATAGAAGATTCACCAGCATTCCTAATGAAAAGATCAGCTCTAAGTAGAAAACTTGGCATATAAATACGTGTATCAAGAGATGTATAAAAAAGGTCAATATTGGTGAGAAATCATAAGAGACTACATAAAGCTAAAACTGCTAATGTTCTCATATCTGAAGATAATAGATGTATAACCTCAGAACCTTATCATCACCAGAGATCTCGGAGGGAGTCTAATTAAACAGGTCAGGTCTGATTCTATTAAATTTGGATGATCTCAAAAAGAAGAATGGAAAGGGTGGTAAAGAGGAATGCACAGAGACAGAGGGGAAGGGAGAGGAAATATGAGGGAAATTATCTTATATAAATGGGCTGTGCAATGAGGAATTTATACATTGGAGGGGAAAGAGGGGAGCAGGAGACATTTGAACCTTACTCTCACATAAGCTGATTTTTTTTGCCTTTTTTTTTTTTTTTTTTGGTGAGGCAGTTGGAGTTAAGTGACTTGCCCAGGGTTCCACAGCTAGTGTCAAGTGTCTGAGGTCAGATTTGAACTCAGGTCTTCCTGATTCCAAGGCTGAAGCTCTATTCACTGCACCACCTAGCTGCCCCATCACGTGAACTCATTTAAGGAGGAAAGAATACATATACACACACTGTTGGGTACAGAAACATATCTTACCCAACAAGAATATAGGAGGAAAAAAATTAGAGAGAGGGTAGATTAAGGGAGACATTAGTCAAAAGCAAAATGGACTCTTAGAAAGGGAAAGAAAAATATAAGAGACTAGGGTAGAGGGAAATACATAATTAGCAATCATGAATGTGAATGAGATGCACTCACCCATAAAATGGAAGAGAATAGCAGAATGTATTTGAAACCAGAATGGAACAATATGTTGTTTACAAGGAACACTTGAAATAAAGAAATATACACAAAGTTAAAGTGAGAGGCTTCAGCAGAAGTTAAAAAAAGAGGCAAGGGGTAACAATCACGACCTCAGACAAAGCAAAAGTAAAATAGACCTAATTAAAAGAGAGAAACAGGAAAACTACATTTTGCTAAAAAAAAAAAAAGTACCACAGACAATGAATTAATATCAATACTACAGATATATGCACCAGATGGCATGCATCTAAATTCTCTCTCTTTTTTTTAAGTGAGGCAATTGGGTTAAGTGACTTACCCAGAGTTACACAGCTCGGGAGTGTTATGTGTCTGAGGCTGGATTTGAACTCAGGTCTTCCTGACTCCAGGGCCAGTGGTCTATTCACTGTGCCACCTAGCTGCCCCCCTCCCCATGCATCTAAATTCTTAAAGAAAAAGTTAAACCGCAAGCAAAACTGTGATCTTGGGAGGCCTTAATTGGCCTGTCTCAGAGCTAGATAATCTAAACATAAACAAGAAAGAAGTTAGGAGATGGATAGAATTTTGGAAAAGTTAGGTATGATAGATCTCTGGAGAATATTGAATGGGAATAGAAAGGCATATACCTATTTCAACTGTGGATCACACCTTCATAAAAACTGATTGTGATAGGGCATAAACAAATCCAAAGAAAGGCAGAACTATTAATGCATGTTTTACTGAACATAAGGCAATAAAAATTACATTCAATAAAAGGCCTTTGAATCAAAAGTTAAAAATTAATTAGAAAGCAAATAACTTAATCCTAAAGAATGGGTGGGTCCAAAAACAAATTATAGCAAAAAATCAATAATTTCATTCAAAGATAATGACAACAATGAGATAGTGCCAAAATTTGTGGAATGCAAACAAAACAGTACTGATGGGAAATTTTTAATCTCTAAATGCTTATATCAAGACAGAAAGAACAGATTAATGAATTGGGCATGCAACTAAAAAACTAGAAAATCAACAATTTTTTTTAAACCAATTAAGCATCAAAATGGAAAGTCTGAAAATCAAAGAAGAGGTTAACAAAACTGAAAGTTAAAAAAAAAAAACCAGCAAACTAATAAATAAAACTAGGACCTAGTTTGAAGAAGAAGGAAATAGATAAGTCATTAACGAATTTTATCTTAAAAAGAAAACTAAATTGCCAGCATTAGAAATGAAAAAGATGAATTTATAACCAATGAAGAATAAATAGAAACAATTATTAGGAGCTATTTTATACAACTGTATGCCAATAAAACTGACAATCTAAATGCAATGTATGAATATTTATAAAAATATAAATTGCCCAAATTAACAGAATAAAAAATACAACACTTAAATAACCCTATCTTAGAAAAAGAAATTGAACAAGCCATCAATGAACTTCCAAACCCAGGACCAGATGGATTTACAAGTGCAACCAAATATTTAAAGAATGAAAAATAATTAATTCCAATACTACATAAACTTTTTGAAAAACAAATAAAGAATCCTCCCAAATTCCTTCCACAACACAAATATGGTCTTGATACCTAAACCAGGGAGAACCAAAGCAGAAAAAGAAAACTACAGACCAATTTCCCTAATGAGTTTTGATGCAAAAAAATTTAAATAAAATATTAGTAAGGAATCTACAGCAATGTATCACAAAGATCATACCTTATAACCAGGCTGGATATATACTAGGAATGCAGGGCTGGCTCAATATTAGGAAAACTATAACCATAATTGACCATATTAATAACAAAAACAAAAATCATATGATTATTTCAACAGATGAAGAAAAAGCTTTTGACAAAATACAACCGCTACCCTGTGAAAACATTAGAAAGCATAAGAATGAATGGGGCTTTCCATTAAAATGATAAGTAGTACCAATCTAAAACCAAGAGCCGGTATCATCTGTGAATAAGACAAGGCAGAAGCATTGCCGGTAAGATCAGGAGTGAAGCAAGGATGTCCATTTTCACCATTATTATTCAATATTGTACTAGAAATGCTAACTATAGCAATAAGAGAAGAAAAATAAACTAAAGTAATAAACATAGACAAAGAAACCAAATTATCATTTTTGCAGACAATGT